CAGAAGGTCCTGAATGGCAGGATGAGGAGCAGAGGGAAATCTCTCCCTCAGAGAGGCATCTATTAAACTAGTCAAAATTAGTAAAGGCAATCATTCAACACGTCTAGAGATTGACAAGACTTAAACTGAGAAGCATTAATTCAACAAAACCCAAGGAATCTTAGTAAGAAAATGGGAGGAGGTGGGAGGCCGTTGCACTGGAGAACTATGCATCCACCCTCTACCCGCACCCCCCCCAGATATGCCTTACAAAAGACCTGTTCCATTTGGGGTATAGAGGATACATCAAATCTCTCTCTTGATCTCTCTCTCTCACACACAGTTTTGTAACCTACAACTAAAAAAAAATTTTTTATTCTATATTGATGAACACACTTCAAAAATCAATCCTGCACTTGACCACAGATCAAACCTTAATAAATTTTTAAAAAGTAGGTTTATCTAGGCCATATTCTTAGGTCATAATCCAAAAAAATAGGAGTAAACAATTTTTAAATGTCAAACCCTTAACTATTGGAAAATTAGTCTCCCTTGGATGAGAGAGAAGATAAAAGCAAATTAATCTAGAAAGTCACAAAAAGGAGAATATTTCATGCCAAAATGCGTGGGGTGCAGTTAAGCTATAATCAGGGAAAAATATATTAACTTTAAATATCTTTACTGTTAAGTGAGAAAGTCTAAAGATAATGTAATCTAGTGCTACTTTTAATTAAGAAATTAAGAACAAAATTAAACAAAAGAAAAAAGATGTAAATTAAAGTTGAAGTTAATGAAAAATGTTTTAAAAATCAACAGAAAAAAATAAAATAGAAAGGTTATATAAATCCTAATGTTATTTGAAAGTGCCAATAAAATTGAATAACCCCTTAAGGAACCTAATTCAAGGAAGCAAGAGCAAGTTTGTTATTTAATGAATGGTATAGTGTAACTATCCCTCGGCAAGGTGATGTTGGCCCCCCTACCTCACACCATTTATAAAAAAGACAAAACCCAAACTCAGAGGAGTAACTAGTAATCACATTTCACCCAGAATAGAAGGCAACATAAAGAAGATATTCCAACATTCTTCCATATCCAAAAAGAAACAAACCAAATTAAAAAAAAAAGACAAAATATTTAATAGGCATTTTTTACAACTGCAGTACAAATTATCACTTCAAATAAACATTACAGGGTTTTAATTACTAGTCACCCAATAAATAATTTTTGCAGCTGATAAAATTATTTCATTATAAAGCGAATGTTTTAATGTATTACTTTGCTTGTACTTCTACATATCCAGAGAATTCTATTCTATCTTGAAATTCAACAACTTAGAACTTTTACAGGAATTGCTTGAGCAGATGTCCTAATTTCAGTCATTTACTGGAACGTATTTTAAAAATAGGCAATAAGTCAGAGAAGATTAGGTTGGAAAAGGGAATATAATTGGGGTCATAGAGACAATGTTGAATTGTAAAGTTCTGTGCCTCAAATTCTTCGCGGTGAACTGTACTGTCTTACAGAGCAGTAATAAAAGACACTTCAAGGCCCGTGTGGGGGCATAGAAAAACCAGAAATAAAAAACCCACAAAGAGAAATCCCTAGGCCGGCAGTTGCTCGTCCAGAATATTTAACCAACTCTGCTGCTAACCTAGGAAACCTACCGTCTCTTAAAGCCCTAAAAACTAAGTAAGGCAATTCCAATTGTCTTTTTAAAGAGAACATTGGTGTGTGAACCTTATATATGATCACCTCAAAATCCAGTCTATGTTGTTCACGGATTTGAACACCCCTGATGAAGTATTTGTTCGATTCTTCACGTTAAACTACTTAGAATTTTTCTCGTGACCTGTCTCCTGAGGTCAACACAATTCTGTGTGAATACTTAATGTCAGATCCTTAAGAGCTACCTGTGTGATGAGCACCTTTCTTCATTAAAATTCTGTTCTCTGTCCCATTTATTGGCCATTTGCATCTAGAACAAAGAAACCTGAAATTAGGCCTATCTCCAGCTTTGCAAGCAACTGTTACATTACACATAATCTGCTTTCAAATTCACCTCCTTTTTGGTGGGAAAAAGAGGTGACAGAGGAAAGAACATTTGAATGAGGAAATCTTTGATCCCATTCCCAATTGTACTCTTAGTAGCAATGTGAATCCTGGCAAATTATTTAACTTCTCCAAGCCATTTACCCATCTTGTGTTCTTTCTCCCCTGAACTCTTCAAGAATTATGTTGTTTACTCATGTTTGTTAGAGAGGTAAACAGGATATAAAGTACTTACACTCTACAGAAAGCGTCCTAATCAGCTAAGGCCAGAAACACCTTCTTTTTAAGACTGGTCAACTACATATATTACCTGTTTATCCCTGCGGGTCACTAAGACCTTTTTCTTTTACCAGTTTTCAAATGAAATGCAATAAATGTTGGTAGTTTCGTTTTTGTGTTGAGTGCCAGATTTAAATAATCTGCAGGGTACCTGGATAGTGGCAATGAGAAGTCATTCTGAAATCCCAGAGGCAAAAAGAGAGTGGTATCCCCCTAGGCAGGACGATTACTGCCATCCTAACCATTAGCATTTAGTGCCATCCTAACCAATTCTCCAGTCACATTAGGGATAGTTCAGAGTCACTGCTGTATGATTCTAGGACATTAAAAACTCCTAAATATGGTATGTGGCACACTAAGTTTTCACCTGTGAATTTCTTGTTAGCAAAAATATGGTATCTGCTCCAAATGGATTCTAGGCCTTGCAACATTATTCTTAAAAGGTACAACAGTCTGGTGATGTCCTTCTAAAGGACTGACTAGGGCAAGAAGGTGTCATAAATGTACAGACGAAAACATAAACCTAGTACACAGACAGATAAGCAAACCCACAAATGCTGCCCTGGGGTCTCTCATATACAGGGACAGGTGGTGCTTTCCTTCCCGAAACCACAGCCAGGCAGCCCAGGCTAAATGAAATGTTCTTCCTAGCGTCACGAGGCCCAATATTATGTGCCAGCATGAGTCTGCACGGTTTGTGCTTTTCCTCCTCATGGAACACAAGGGGGGGAAAGAAGCAACGAGGCTTCCTTTAGTAGGGAAGAGCCAGCGTATAGAAACTGGTTTAACTAGTACACCAGGGCTCCAGACTGCAGCACGTCATGCGACATGCGGTAGCTAAGACACGGTACGGGGAGGAGTCTGTAGCCAGCCTGAGCTCCGGCTAACAGTATGTGCCTCGGAGCCCAGACAGCGTATGACACCATCTCCCACACAATCAAGGTTCCTGTACGTGTACAGAAACACAAGGGCTCACGGGAATGTGTTGTCTTGTCATTTGGTTGATCTGTTGGCCACTTTCAACTCCGATTTTTTTTTTTTTTTAACCTGGGGTCAGCAGGCCAGGTACAGCTCTTAATGGTCCCAACCACCTTTCAGCTGATACATCAACCTCCAGGTGGATCGCCAAAAAGTTATCCCAAATCTGTAAAGTACAAACAACATTTTAAAAACACCACAGACACACATAAATCGAAAACAAAACACAACACAAAACAAAACAAACAAGCATGGAAAATCCAACCAGGGAAGAACTTCTTGGACATTATCAGCTAGATTCCCTGTCCTCAGATCCACACATCGAATCTAACCAGAGGTTTCTCAGACCCCTGAGGGGAAACTAAAATGCACCAGTCTGGACTAAAACCGATCTCGGTGGCTGAATAATCATCTTATTGAATAAGAGACACAATTTCTGTAAAGTACACACAAGTGACAGAAATCCAAATGTTTTTTCAGTGCGCCTTTAAAGAGTGGTCTCTTAGCAGGGGTGAGGGTGGGGGGGGGTGGGGGGCTGAGGCCAAGGCTCCGGGCTTTCCCTGTGAAGGGACGCCTGAGGGAAGAAGGCACACTTTCTGCAGGAGAGCCGCTGTCCACGCTTCCTACTCATGTTTTCGCCAGCGGGTCAAACACCTGCAGCACCGTCCTCTTGTCCTGGTCACTGCCGGTCACGCAGCGATCGAAGTCCTTCGGCCCGCGCCCCGGCGGCAGCTCCTGGGCAGCCGAGGCAGAGCCTTGCAGCGGGGCTGTGTGTGCTCTTTCCAGGCCCCTGGTCCCCGAGTCCAGCGGGTCGGAGCTCTTGGAGAGCCAGGCATTCTTCAACAGGCTCGGGTGGTGGAGAAGGCTCCAGAAGGGATCCTGATAATCACCAAGAAGGGAGGCCGCCTCGGACTTGGGCTGCTCGGCGCCGGGGGTTGCGGGGCTTGCCGCGTAGGAAGCGCCGAGGCCAGTGGCTTGTGGAAGGAGAGCGCCCCCGTCGGGTGGGTGTGCGGGGGGACGGTCGCTGCGGCCGCTGCAGGGGAGGACCGCGAGGAACGGGCTGTCACAGCTCTGCAGCACCTGCAGGTGGAAGGCGGCGGGGGCCGACTTCTTCCTCCTCGGGGGCGCCTGGGGCGCGGGCGGCGGAACCTCCAGCGGGGACGGTGGGGTGGCCACGGGAGGGGCATCGTCTGGTGCTGGCGGCCCCCCGCTCGGCTTCCTCTCGGTACCCTTCCCAGGCTGAAGTGTTCTCGGTTTGGGAACAGGAGGGACGGCTGCTAGAGGGGGGGTTTCAAGGCTTGTCTCTGGGGGCCCGACCGTAAAATGGACCGTCTGTTGCCCAAACTGGTCTTCCGGTGACTCAGGCTGAGGAAAGGCAGGACCAAGAGTGTAAGTCAGTCAGAAGCCAGCACTGGGGGCGTGGGGGTCAGCACCCAGACGGTGTCAGCAGGGGGAGCAGAGATGGGGCTAAGCGGACATTCTAGCAAATTCAAGATCTGAGAATGTCTGGGATGCTGAAGTGTGACCAGGTACAAGAGAGCGCAGGGGGAACACACATCTGTCAAGTACCAGCAGGTCCAACGACATAGGAGTGGAAACTTGAAAACCAGGGCCACACGGTGAATATTCTGAAACTAGTTTTTCCCTTGTTACCTTAGGAAATGGGGTTATGCTCTTCCTTTATTAAAAGCGAACCTCTGGAAACTATCTTCTCTGAGGCCACCGCTTGGACAATTCAGCGTGTACCATGCAAGGCGGATGGAACTTATGTGAGGGCAGTAAGCTAACTGAAGGGCTAATGGATCGGCTTGCTCCTTAAATCTTTGATCAATTTAACTACAGTAGACGGCAAATTTCACACAGGAGCATCACTTCCTCGGTTCTGACTCAAAACCATCACAAAACAACTGCACAGTACAAAAGGGAGCTTTCGCAGGGAAGGAGCTGTTCGTATCGTAAAGCATCAGCATTTCCTCTGATTCTTTAGAAAACAAACCGCAGAAACAATCCTTCTCCACCAGCCTTTTATTGTCACTCCTGCGCGGCAGCCTGGGAAAATGACCCATTTCTGCCCTGGCTTTTAAAAGAAAAGACGGAGCAGGCACAGGGAAGAGGAGGAGGAAAGAGATCTGCTTTGTAAGGGGGCAGGGCAGATGGACAGACGCGAGGTGCGAATGTGGGGCAGACCAATGCGGAGAACACAGAGCAAGCGCCAAAGCCACATCGCACACGCGCCATGGGTGGAAAGCGGCAGTCACTCGGGAACGGCCAGCCAACGGATTACCGAGGGTCCCGTTACTAGAACACCGAGATCAAACGGAAGATCCAGATGTCTCTAGAGGTGCCAGTCTTTGGGCTGCCACTGTCCTGACAAACTCATGTCTCTGAAGCAGCAAGCAAGGCTGAGAAGCTTGAGAGCGAGAGCAAAACACAATCTGCAAGAAAAGTGGCAAGAGAAGGTGTCCAGGCCCCGGTATCAGAGGCCGCGCAGAGCGCGTCCCCACTGCAAATCCACCGACCGGCAAATAAAAATCTGTACCCGTGCAACCTCGTGCACACGATACGGAGACACACAAACAGGAAAAAAGTATCCCACAAGGGCTTCGTTTGGGGGCTCCAATAGAACACTCCAGAGGCCTGATACCTCCCAGCTGTTCCATCGCCGCGAGAGACTCCTGGTTTTTCTGCTCAGCGAGAGCCAAGGACACGCGGGCGTGTGAAGGAGGGAAGCGATGGTCAAGCAGCGTCCCCAAGGACGGGAGTCCAGACCCTGGAGCCCCTTGGCAGTAAGAGGCTCTGTTACAGCTTCTTACCTTTCCTGTCCTCCGCAAGGTTGGCTTCTTGATGGTGGGGACTCTGGGCGCAGGCCGCCGGGGCAGGAGCGGGGCCACCCCTGCCGTGGGCTCTGGTTTGGAAGGCCCTGGGTCCCTCAGGGATGTGGCAGTTAGGGCATTTCCTGGGGCACCTGAAACACACAGGTGTACGGACGGCTGAAGTGGACAGGACAGGGTGATTCGCTGCATGACTTAATCTGTAGGCAGTTCACACCCTAAGAGTAATTTGCTAAGGCAACGTATTTCCTTTTTTCTAAAAACAAAAAAATCTCTAAGGGCTGTCAGGACCAACCAGCTAGGTTTAGTCCCAGCTTCTCATGTTCACCGTCTCAACAGGGATGGTCTTCATGGGGGATCACTGAGGCCCAGACATTTATACGCAAAGTTTTATGTCTGTGTGCATTTCTCTGGGGAGGTAATCCGAAACGTCTCAAAATCTCAGCAGGGCTCATGACCAAGAAAATGTTAGGCTGGGATCCCCGGGAGATTTCAGATCTCAAACCTTTCCTAACCTCTACATTCATAGAACACTTAAAAAGTAGCTTTATTGAGATATAATTCACATGCCATGAAAGTCACCCTTTTTAAGGATACAATTCAGGGGTTTTTTAGTATACTCCCGGAGTTGTACGAACCGTCACCACTATCTGATTCCAGAACATCCTCATCACCACAAAAAGGAACCCTGTCCCCCATTAGCAGTCGCCCCTCCATTCCCTCCTCCCCCCGACCCCTGGAAACTACTAGTAACTTTCTCTCTGTATAGATTTGCCTATACTGGACATTTCGTATAAATGGAATCGTACGGGGTGCCTGAGTGGCTCAGTCAGTTGAGCATCCGACTCTTGATTTTGGCTCAGGTCATGACCTCAGGGTCGTGAGGTCAAGCTCCGCACTGGGCTCCTCACTGGGCATGGAGCCTGCTTAAGACTCTCTGTCTCCCTCTCCCCACCCCACGGATGCTCTCAAATAAATAAATAAAAGGAATCATACAATATATAACCTTTTTTGTTTAGCTTTTACTCAGCATAATATGGTCAAGATTCACCCATGATAAAGCATATATATGAATACATTCTTTTTTTATGGCTGAATAATATTCCGCTATATAGTTGTTACACTACCTTTTATCCATTCATCAGTTGGTGGTCACGTGGGTGGTTAACATCCATACAATTGTATTATTTTTTGTTAATAAATAAAGAAACCACTCATGATAGTGTTATCCTACAACAGTGTTTCTCGACCTCTTAATTCGTGCCCTCCTTCAATGTTACTTGGAATTCCAAATAAGTTACATATCCTGCCTAAAAGCAAATAGACAGTTGTGATTGGCTATGGCTTTTCAGAGGGCATGAGCTCTCCTTTCTAAAAGAGATATTTGTACACAATCAAAACAACAACAACAACAACCCTCAAAAATATTAGTATCAGCAATTTTGAATGTGATTATGATTAATATGATTAACATGGGTTAGGTGAAGTAACAGCAACAAAAAATTAACCGGCAGTAGAGTGGGGGAGAGGTCCCCGCCTGACAGTAAAGAATCTATACTTGCTGGTGATTTAAAAAGAAGGTTTTGTGCCTGAAATAGGGATGGGTCCCAAATTACCTCTTGTTATGGAGCTGGCAGAATGAGTTAGTGCCTGGAGCATTATCCTTTTCTAAAATCCATTTTTGTTTATTTCAGTCTCTCCCTTAAAGTGCTTCTTAATAATCCTGGGGTTATTTCTATATTCTTACTGAATTTTAAATATATAATTTTAAATGGATAATAACATTTGTAGTGGAATTTTATAAAATGTTGCTAAAGCGTGCTTCCAATTTAATACCCCCTCCAGGGGGGAAGAAAAAAAAAGTTACTTTCTCTTCCAGACCACTTCTAGTAGGAAGATGCATAAAAGACCAGAAGGAGAGCCCCAGGAGAACACTCACCTCCTCTGGCTTCCAGGAGACACCGGATGGCTGCTTCTGCCTCCTGAGCATTGGTAGTTTTGATCTGCTTGACATTGTAGGGTTTACTTATCCCCATCCTGGCTTTGGGCTTCAGGAGAGAAACAAGAAGAAAAGCATATTAACAGAGGCAGGAAAACAGGCTCGCCTGGTCCGCTTACTGCCTACTGATCAATCTGCAGGGGTGAGGGGCACGGGGCTCCATCAGACAGGAGTTAAACACAAACTCCAATCTAGACTGCATCCCTCAAGCCTCCTCCCGGAAGTACTCTCATACCAAGAAGAGGAATGCAATAATTCAGAGCTGACAAGCCTCCTCTCCCAAACTGGGTGGTTACAGGTCTTTGCAAGCCTCCTCTCCCAAACTGGCTGGTTACAGGTCTTTGCAAGCCTCCTCTCCCAAACTGGCTGGTTACAGGTCTTTGC